GTAAAGTGTGAATTAAGGTAAGTAAAGTAGTGTATACTGAATCTATATGAAAATTCATTAATTCTTCGGTATTACTTTATTTATTTTTTTATCAGAATGACTACCATATTTATATCGGTTCCATGATCAAACAGAACGTGACATATCAGGACAGGATAAAACAGAAGGTAATTTAAGAGAACAGGACAAAACAGAATTGTACTAAAACAGGACAGTATTAAAACAGAATTTTAATCAATATTTTTTCCGATGTTCTGTTTTATGATGATCTCTTTTAGTACTATTCTGTTTTATCACTGTTCGTTTTTTTGCTATTCTGTTATTATGCTGTTCTGTTTTATCCTGTCCTGATATATCATTTTCTGTGCTGGAGAAATCTGTTCGGTCCGGTCACCATTTATATCATTGGTAGTAAATGTATTAAATATAGTGACATTAATAATTTAAGTTGGTCAATATGTCAAAACAACTTTTTTTTTTAATTTGTCATATGAAGTGCTGTGAGCTTAGTTATGTGAAAATAACATAATACTTCCTATATGTTTATTATTTATAAAAATATACATTTTATAATAAGCGATAAGGTCTTAAAAATTTAAATATTTCAACATATTTTAGACCTAAGTTGCTGTCATTCTTCATTGTTTCTATAAGGTATGTTTGTATTTGACAGAAAATAAAAAGCTAAATAATCTCCTACAATTCGTCATAACAACCCATAACTACCAACATCGAATTATTGACATTGAATAATACTAAAAAATCGTTTATTGGATATAGTGTGGTGCGTACATTATTATTACATTAGAAATTGGAATGTATTAAAAATGCAATTACTTAGTTATAATTATTTTTAAAATAATCAATTTGGATACATGCAATAAAAACCATTAATTATAACCCCCAAAAAACAATATAATATTAATCATCCTATTCATAGAAACTTTATGAATTTAGAAACAAAGTTATTCACTAATTTATTTAATAAGATAATTAAGATTATTAATTTAGAAACAAAGTTATACACTAATTTATTCAGCAAGGCAATTAACGTAAATAATTGAATAGAAATCTCTTCATTTATTCATTATATATGCAATTAAATTCGTTACGTTCTCATCCTGAAAGTAAAAAAAAAGAAGTAGAAGAGAACCCTTTCAAGAGTCGAGCTAATAAAATTACGTTTTATTTTATTCCTCGCATAATTTTGCATATTAATAAGCGTGACTTTTGTGCCGGAATGGCGTGGATTTATATTATGCCATTTCGGTTAATTCCCCAAACCTCGGGAATGTCCGACTTAGTT